GGCGGCCTCGCCTTCTGCCTCTTCTACCTGGCGTCCTGCTTCACCAACAAGGTGAGGGCGGGCGCGGAGCCTCCCCGCTCTCGGAGGGGCCGGGCGAGGCGGAGGGAAGCGCGGAGGCGCCGGGCAGTTGTTCCGCTGTAGCAGGAGCGGGGGCCGCGCCTGACAGGGTGCGATAAGAGCAGAGACCCAGAAGGAGGAGGAGGAGGAGGAGGTGGGACGGTGCCCTCTGCTTGCGCTGCGCTGCTTCGGGAGAGCCGGCGGGTCAGCCAGTGGAAAGACCCGCTGGCATTTCAGCGCGACGGCCCGCGGCGCCCATGCCGGGAGCGCTCGTAACTGAGATTACAGCTGTCTCCTGCGGGTCTCGTTGTCCTCAGTGTGTGACATCTCTACCTTTCCATGACACATCGGTTTCGATACTGGCGCATTTAGGAGAGTAAAGGGGTGACCTCGTGTTATTCATATGAACGAAATGTGAGTTATAGAGCCAGAAGTTACGCCGCTTTGAAAGCGTCAGTGATGCTGAATATATTTTATTGTTGGGTATCCGACTACCCAATGCGCGGTCATTCACAAAAGGAGATCTGCTAACTGGAACGATAATACCAAGTATCCAAGGGAAAAATGTGAAATAGTCAAAGTGTTATAGCAGTAGTGAAACAAACATTAACTTCCATGGACCCTTTCAGAGCTTAATTGACCTGCAAATTAAGGACACAGTCACTTTTCCACGGTGCAACTTAATTGCCCGTTGGTGTTGCTGAAGGGTCTAAGCAGAAGTAGGCTGAAGATGGCCACCTTGAGAATAAAATTGTATGGTTTAAACATAGTTGGAAGTAGTTTGTTCACTCTGGAAGGAAGAGTTAGAGTAACTACTCCATACTGTCCTGTTTATCAGAGATTGTGTGTTTCTGGTGCAGGTTTCTGAAAGAAAAGATGTTTTTGAAGCAACTAAGGTATTTCCTGAGGGAGAGTTAGAGAAAAGCAGCATTTTGGAGGCAAAAATGAAATCTTTTCTCAGCATCAGGCACTGGTTTCTGTTCCAAGGTACACTTGCCATGAGGGATGCTCAGTAGACTGAAGTACAGACATGAAGCAAAGTTCGTAGGGCGAGATAACGCACTTGATTTGACAATCAACTGAAAGCAGTGATTAGTTAAACAGAAAGGGGCTGGAAGAGCTGTCAGATTGCACCATGCATTGGAAAACGTACTTGGCTTAATTATACTTGAGAGACAGTTGGAAGGACTTTGACATAGGGCCTCCATTTGCAAACCTGAACGTAGGTTTTAGTGTAGTAGAGTTAAAAATAACCAAAACATAGACTTCTCAGTTGTTGCAGGTGGTATGTAAATGCAAGTGGGAGTACGGACATGTGCAGGTATATTGTCCTGATTTAAAACCTATGTGACAGTTCAGACAAGTATGTGTGTAACATGACCCTTTGTGACTCAACATGCCTATATTGATGCCAGCTTCTTAGTGACACCCCACACACCTAAAAAACTGGACCTTGCAGAGCGCTCAGCACAGTTTCCTCTCTGTTGGAAGCTTTCAGCTTTTCCTTTCGGCATTGACAGCTTCTGATGGCTCCTAGAAGGAATGGCAGGTATTTTCCTTTCCTCTGAGGAAGCTTCAGTCATTCTTCTCTTTTGCAGAAGTAGTATTTATATACTTCATTACAGGAAGCTGTTAGTTCCTGATACACGCATCAAAAGGCATATGTATTTCTGCCTCGTATTTGCGTATATACATATATAGTGGGAAAAGACACTAGCATCCAAACACACAGACTCTGACAAAGGGTACTTAAGCAATGACGCAGGGACTTTGCTTTTTTCCCCCCCATATATTACATCTCCAAAGGGCTTTATGGACTGCTTAGTAATTTACACAAAATGGTATGTAATTTACAAAATGATTAGCTCTGTCAGATTAATTAATCATCAGGAGACAATTATGTTTAGATTATTGGTCTTGATTCTGCTAAAGGTCGCCTTTGTGGTATGATATGATTTTAATTGGTAAGGGTTTGTGTCTTTTTGTTCCTGTTAATCCTTTTCCCATTCAGTGTGATGTATGGAGTGGCCTCAGAAAGTGAAAGAGCAAGTCAGAAGGTAGCCTTGTCTCCATCGGTCAGTGTGTCCACTCCATACCTGATGTACTTTAGTATCTGCTGCCTTCCACAATGACTGGGGCAATGTCCAGCAGTTCTGGCATCGGAACAGAAATTACTGAAAACTTATTTTTTTGTCTTTTTATTTTTCTTTACTTTGGTAGAAACTTTTTGTGCTTTGTTGTTCTCATGATTGTTTATTAATGTTGTAACACTGTAGCTGTTTGATGTCCATTAATTTGGTGTTTGTTTTCCAGTATGTCCTGTCTGTCCTGAAATTTACCTACCCTACCCTTTTTCAAGGGTAAGTACCATTTTAAAAACACAGTTGTTTGAAAAAATTGCTTTAATCAGTAAATATCTTGCTGTTCCATGCTGAAGCTAATTTTAGTACCTCTTGTCATTGCTGGCTTTTGCTGTCTAGAGAACATACTTCATGAAGCCTTAGTAAAGCATTCATTAATGTGTCTTAGTTAATTTTTAAACATCATGATGGTGATGTAATTAAGTTATATGGACTCCATAATTTTTCATTTTTCTGAGTGTCTTACACTCCAGCATAGAAAAGTAGCAATTATAGTACAGCCTGTCTTCTCTGGAAATGGCACTCATGGGTAGTGTGCAGTTGTGGTGTATTCTTTCACTATGCTAATGAATACACCACATTCACTAACCTTAAACCCATCTTTAGGTGTGCACAAGTACAATGTTGCTTATTTTCATCCTTAGCCTTTGTTGTAACTCTGCATCACAAGTCACTATCATACCTTATTGATTGTAATGAGAAATTTAATGTTTTGACAGGTAACCATATATACCATCAGTGCTGTCAATAATTTGTGAGACATTTAGTGAAAATCTGGCCTCTTAGAGTCAAGACTTGCCCCATTTGTTCTTTTGAGATAAAGATATTCAGTGTCTGCAGACTTTGCCATTAATTCCTTAGCATGGCTTATATTTTTTTGCCTGATGTGCAACCCCAGGACTGTGATCAACTCTAGGAATAATTCCCTTGGAAATCTCAATTTTCTTTGAGTGTACTTAGCTGTATTAAATATGCAACAAATACTTTCTTCAGTTCTGACACACACATACACAGATTGTCTTTTGGACAAGGCTTTTATCATATGGGGAAAGGGTTTTGAGCAATGTATGTAAAATGCAACTGTGGTAAATCAACAGTAAAAAAGCATGTTTCAATGACAAGCAGCTGCCTTATGGCATCTGTGTTACCACAGTTTTTTCCTTTTTCTATTATTTGGAAATGCATCTCAGCATCTTAATATTTTTCTGTAAATTCCAGCTTTCAAAGGTGACCTTTACTTGAAAATCATTTAGTGGCTTAGATGCGCTTTCACTTAGAGCTATGACAGATGAACAAAGGAGGAAAAGAGTGTTGTTTTCAGTTCATGCTGTTATTGTTCGTTGTCATTGGTTTTGTTCCCTGCATAATCTAAGACTGTACGGCATAGTGCTAAGGATCTGAAACTGTTACTAACTTCAAATTCTGTTCTTAAAACCTGAGACAAGAGGAAATTCTTCACAGTAAAGTTGATGGGAATTCATCACTGGCTTGGATCAAGCCTGCAACAGCCATCAGAGATACCTGGCTTTTAAGCTCTCACATGTTCCTTATTTAAAAAAGGTGAAGTGAGCTGCAGTAGCATTGAATATTCATCACACCCATGTGGACAATGAGCTCACCCTTCTCTGACACTGCTCAGCTGTATGTAATAATGCATAGAGTGAATATTTGTTTATTTGTGGATATGTGAGAGAGATTTTAAATAATTGCTTAAATGCATTGTGATGAATGGGAATAATAAATAAAATCACCTCTATACCTGTTATAGATGTTAATGTGATTTAACACTGTAGTATGGTATCTCTGTCTCAACTATACTAGATGGTCAAGGATTTTCACCCAAGAAACGTGAAACACCTCTCTGAAAACCACTAGCTTAAGGAAGAAGGAAGCTAGTAACTTATTTTAAAGCTTAAAAAAAACCACAAAGTGTGCATCACTACTAATTTTGAGTTATCTGCAAGCATTTCTAAGGCCTCACATATTATTTCCCTAATAGACTAAGGAACACCTTGATGGTAGGGTAAGTCATTAGGTAGTTAAGTCAGTGCAGAATGTATGTAATTGTTATATACGTTTTCAGTGAGAAAACCGCAGTATTGTGGTTTATATGCAAGATTATCTGGCTGTAAAGATGTTCTCTCTAGAGGCTCTGAATCAGAGGCTTGTGCAGCATAATGATGTTATTGTTGATGACATTTCACTTGGTGCTTGCTACACAAGGTGCAGGGGAGGGGAAAAAAAGCAGCCTGAGTTTGAGGGAGTTTGTAATCTCAGCCCAGCATGAATAACCATGGGAAGTCATAGACCTAATGTTTGAAACTACTGGAACTACACACCTCATCCTTGGGGCCTAGTACTTCAGCTGAAGTGAGTCTTTGAATCCTGAAATCATGTTTATTTGTTCTAACAATAACAGTTTATGTATGAAAGTATATTCATCTCTTGTCACAAACCATGCCTCACTTGCATCTTCAGATCATCATGGCTGTAATGTCACTATTATTATTGTAAAACTTGCGTGGGAAGAGATGATAGAATGGGGTTTCAATGACATGACTAAGGTGATTATGGTAGATGGTAATTTATAAAACATTTGGAACAGGAGGTGGAGACACCAGAATATTAGAAAATTTGGAGGAAATGAAGGCCCACAAAAGTGAAAGATTCAAAGAGGAATAGTGGCATCCCTGGAAATCTAGAGAAACGGTATATAACTAGAGTCGGAGGTGTGCTGTGAGAAATTCTGTGGATTCTAAGGTCATGGCTTCACATGGTTTAAGAGGACAAACAATTCAGAGGTGCTGTTTTGTTTCTGTTTTAGGTGGCAGACATTAGTGGGTGGACTTCTGCTTCATATCTCCTGGAAGCTGGGCTGGGTGGAGATAAACTTGTGTTCAAGGTACTGTGGGGTTTTTGGTATCTGCTAAATACTTATTTTTTTGTAGCTGGGTTACAACATAGTGAAGTTGATTGTGGATGTCACTAACCTGCTAAAATATGACTTGGTGGGTGTGTGTTTGTATGTGTTCTGCTTCACAGGTGTAGGAGAGATCTTGCATTTTAGTCTAATGAATGTTCAATGACACACACCTCAACTAATTACTAATATAAAGTGGATCCAGTTTAACCTTGATAAGACATTCAGAAAAACATAGCCATTGGTGGAAACTGTAAGGATAACTTATCCAACTGCCTGTCCACATCTCTTCCCTGGATTATTCTGTAGTATTGTAAGAGAAACCTTGGTAATATTAGTTAAGAGCATTGACACATGGTAATATTAGTTAAGAGCATTGACACATGCTTCCGAAAAAACCTCAGTGCAGTGAAGTCCATGAATGTGATCTGCCTTTGTCCGTAAGAAGTGTGTCCCATAAATGGGAACCATTCACCTTTGCCTAACTCTAGCATTTATAACCACACAGCGAGACCAGCTGTGGCAGTACAGAATTGATACAGTAAACTCCGAATTAAAAGGTGCTTTGTAGACAAAGGTCATCTGCTTGAACTGAGTGTGATGGCAACTCAGAACAGTCATCCAACATACTGTACTCTGCTCAGGTGCATCCATTGTGTGGTATGGAATGGGGCATATCATTTTTATTTCAGAAAATGTTGTCATTTAGAAGATGTATGCCCACAGCAATTGTTGAACCTCCATCTCTGAAGATATTCAAAACTTTACTGGACAATGACCTGAGTAACATGACTTGACTCTCAAACTGGGCAGGATTGGACTAGATGACTGCCAGAGTTCCCTTCTAATGTAACTTTTTTCAGCAATTCTGTATTAGGAAGTGACAACTGATGACCTTCTGTTTGGAATTCAAACAGTTGGCTTGTGAAACTGAGTCTTCTCATTTGGAATGAAATCCTGCATGTATGTTGAAAGAACCAGTCTAAGCTCTGCTGTTATGTCCACGCAAGTGACTACATCACCACTGAAACTTAAATGAACTTGTAAATGGCAACAGAAATTAACTTCCTATCTTTTACCTGCAGTGTAGATAAAATGAGGTTATTGGTGAAAAGCTGTCAGTGATATAGGTAGAGGCAGGATTAGTGTCCAAACCTTGCTTTAGTGGCAGTTACTGATCATATATTATTATCAAATTTGTATTTGTTTATGCAGATGTTGTCTTCACAGAGCAGTCTAAAAGTCATAGGAATACAACCATCAGTAATGTCCTTTTTAGTTCAGCTTTTCATCAGTAGATGATTACTTTTGCTTTAAGTCATGAAATTGGACAAATTGAATCTTTTTTTCTGGCTTTGAAAATATGTTTTCATTTTTTCAAAACTTCGAAGACATTAAAGAAAATACTGGACAAGAACCGTTTTCTGCTTTTGAAGAAGATGTTTTTATCTAAGAAAAGTTTTGGTGAAAAATCAGTTCGTGTTTTGACGACGAAGATTTCAGGCCACTAGATGTCATCACACTGTAGGAAAAGTGGTTAAAATACATCTTGAGAAACCTCTTCATTAGTTTAGCTGATAGAGAATGCCTGTTCTTGAATAGTCTGAACGAAATGACCAGAATTAATTGTCATATTTTGGCTATAATTCAGCCAACTACTTAAGCTCGAGTTTAAATCTGTCTTTCGTCAGAAAAATTAGGCACATACTTTAATGCTTTGCTGAACTGGACTTGTAGCATGTATCTCCTTTACTAAAAAAAAAAAAAACACACAATCAAACCAAACCAAACCAACAAAACCCCCACAAAAACCAATGAAACAAAAAACTCCCCAACAAATAAACATAATTTCCCAAAGCTTCTGCCTACCACTTCCTCTCAGGCTTCTTCCCCCTCCAAAGGTGAGGACATTTCCCCGCCTCTTACAGAATATCGGTCTCTGAATCTCTCTGGGGTTTTGTTGTTGTTGTTGTATGTGTAGGATACTTAAGAATACCATATCCAGTCCCCAGTCTTATCGTACTTCAAGTAATAAGCTGCTACCCATTTGTTTGTTTATTTCCACAAAGTCTCAGTATTTCTCACCTGTGACTGATCTCATATGCTTTCTGAGCCAGTTCAGGTTATCTCAGAGTGTCTCAGCAGAATTATTTTCGTACAAAGAGATCATCACCCTTTGTCTAAAGTCAGGAATGCTAGCTTCACAATAAAGACCAAATAAAAACATACTACATAGAGTAGTTTCTCTTAGGTTTTGTGGGTATTCTGATTCTCATCTGCTTCCCCGCCAGTACTCCCAGCTGTAAGAGACTCTGTCACCATCATTGTTGCTTCTAAAGAGTGAATAGTGACTGTCTGCAAAACTTGTGTCCAAAGCAAGGGCTGTGTGAAGCGCAGAGGAATATATGTAGCATCTGCATAATGCTTCCAATGCTGCGATCTGCCAGCCAGTTTCTTCCTAACCCTTGTAGGTATGTAGGTTGTAAGTCCTACATGTTCTGGTTGGCATTTCTTGTAGCGCTGAATTTTCCCCACAGCTAAGCAGCAGCTTTAAACACAAAGCTCCAAAGTGTGGTTTAGGGGGAGCTGCCCATTGACTTCAGTGGGCTTTGGATGGAGCCCTACAACCACAAGCTCATCAGTTCTTTTATGTCACTGAGCTTTCCTGTTTTGCATGTACATCACTGTATTGCCAACATAAGAAGCTACTAATTGGTTTACATACAAGACAGATTGTTGGTGCTGACACATTACATCAAACATTCATGCATTCTTTTTCAGCCCTGAAATTCCCACTTGGCAGCATAAAATTTTACCCTTGCATCATGGAAAAAACATTTGAAGTCCTTTTCCATTGCACTTCACAGTATTGCATTGGGAATGAAGATATATTTGGGATTCTTAGAATTTAGTAGTGGGGAACATGAAAGACTGTTATGTTCTAAATGAAAATTCAGTTTTCATCATGTGTGCCTTTCATCTTCTCAGCCTTCTTTTCTTTTCTTCCCTCCCCTTTCTTCCATTTGTTGCAGTTCTAGTAGCGTGGGAGTATTTTCGTTGGTGTCTGATGTGAACTTGTTGGTAGTGAGGCATGACAGTTTTAGATCCCAGTCTTTGTGAAATTCCAGTTGAAGTTAATAATCTTAAAAGGAACAGTGTTTTTATAAAAAATGATGGTGACTACCCCAAAAAACAAAGCAAGTATTTATGCCAGTGAAAGGATCTAAAGATTGCTCTGTTTTCATTACCCTAGGTTTTTGATGAAGTATCTTAGAAAATTATGTATATAAAAAAAGAGGAAATGTGCTGTTTAGTTTTTTTTTTTCCCTAGTCTCTGTTTACATGAATCTTTGGGCATATTTTAACTTCATACAGATTGATCTGATTTCATTGTTTAGTCGTCTGTTTTTCTTGTGTTCCATGAAATGTGGCAGTGTAGCGGTACCTATAATTATGTTCTAAGTCTAACATGCTAGTTGAAAGTGTAATCCAAATTAAGGAACTACAAGCAGTTTGGTTTCATTTTGAGAACTTGCATTATTCACTAACATCTTGACTTTAGCTCAAAGCTTGGGAAGGGTGGATGGAGGGTGGCAGTGTCTTCAATCCTGGGAAGGCTTTGGATCAGGCCTTTAGATCACTGTTACTCCTTTCCTCTCTTGCTCAAAATCTTACATTATTCTCTGTGAAATTAACCACCTACTTGATCTTCCTCTTAAGTACCAAGATCAAAAAAAGGAAAAGTGCAAACTCTGAAGCCCCTTCTGAGAACTGAAACCTGACCCTACTGCAATAGCCATGGATGAAAAAAATATCAGATCAATCTGTGATGACTTAATTCCTCCATTAGTTGTCAAACTGCCTCTAGGAGTTTGGCTTAGTCAAAGGAGTAGCATTAGGAAATCTCAAGAGACAGGCTCCCACAGAGACAATCTGATCTTTAGGAAGAATCTCTTTGTAAATCTGGCTGAGAAATGAGTGTGTGGGTGGGCGAGTGTATTTGTACATAATGAAAATGTGTGCTGTCTATGCAAGTACGCCATTTTATGCCTTCATTTGTCAGTTTTTCTTCCTTTTACAGTGCATCAAGGAAATTGGTTGAAATTTCTCTCCCTTAAAACCAACAGGAGTAATAGCCATGAAACAAACAATTTTGGAAGGAAAAGATCTAG